TGTTCTTTTATTTGCAGTCTGAAATTCCCAGCATGAAAACTGCCAATGAGTGAACAAAATTATTTCCTTTATTTTAAGCAATTTTTAAGATTTAAAAACAGACTTATCAGTCAAATTTAAGTGAAATGAAAAAAAAAGACTATGTCCATTAATTACAAAGTGCCTGAGGCTATATTCCATCTTATTACAAAATGTATTTTTATCAACTCACACAGGCAAAACAGACTCAGAAATTATCAGGCCAAGACCTGTCAAAAAAGGTAACTGCTATTGAACTATATACAACAGTATAATAATAGTATTTAAAAGGACAGTCTCCAATGTCAATGATCAGGTTGAACTACAAATTTAAATCCTTTTGGTAGGCTCCACTACCTACTACCTAACCTCTCAGTGGCTCAGGTTTTAAAAAGAAGAAAAAGCCTGTCTTCTGAAGATTAAATGTGATGACATGTGTTAAGTACTTTCAGAGTTATACCTAGTATATATTTAGGACTCAATACATATTAGCTATTATTATCATAACCAACTATTCCTCTAAGATACCCTGAGAAGTTATACTATTCTCCCTTTGAATCTATCAATTTTAACAACCCTAAATCAAATGCCTTTTCCTTTTTCTAAGCTCTGAAACCATTTTTTTCTTCAGTCCTCTGTGAATAGGAAGATTTGAGGTAAGCAGCTTCTTTACCTTCTGAAGACTCAAGACAGTCTTTTCACAAAATCATTTCCAAATATTATACAATGAACAGACTGCTCCATGGATCATGAACAATACAAGGAGTTCACTTGTATAATGAAATTTTGAGATTCATAAAAGAACAAACTGCTACTGGAACAAAAAAGCCTAGATAAGAAATGACAGAAGTCTATTAGTCTGCTCAAAAAACACTGCATTCTATTTTAAAAAACTGAAGGTGGAAATCCTTCTGATTTACAGTTACTCATATCACGAGAAACAATAGTAGATAGTACAGTAAGCAAACTGTATAGGAAAGAAAAGACTAACGGGTTAAACTTGAAGTCACACATTATCTCTTAGCGAAAGCTTTAAAAATCTAAAAAGATCTCTGGGCACCAGTGGCTCACACCTGTAATCCTAGCTTCTAAGGTGGTTGAGATCTGAGGATCAAGGTTCCAAGCCAGCCAAGGCAGGAACTCCTGTCCATGAGACCCTTATCTCCAGTTAACCACCAGAAAACAGGAAGTGGCATTGTGGCTCAAGTGGTAGAGCACCAGCCTTGATCTGAAGAGAGTTCAAGCTCCACGACAGACCAAAACAAACAAACAAAAAATCTAGAAGACTTAGCATCTTTTGTTGTATATAACATGCAGTAATACAATTAAGCATCATTTTTACTAGAAAACAATTAAGCTTGACTGAAAGAAAGCGATCCAAAATTTTTATTGTGAGGGATGAAGGCATGGCTCAAGAGGTAAAGCACCCTACTAAAAAGCTCAAGTCCCTAAATTCAAACCCCAGCATCACCAAAATAATAATAGTAACAATAATAATTTGATTTTCATAAATTTAACACAGATCAAATAAATATTAGAATTCATTGCAAATGAACCAAAGTATTTTTTAATACATAGAGACAAAAAGAAGTATTTAAAATAACTGCATGCTTTCTAAGCCTCCCAAATGCTAGGCATATTATGTAACTTCATTCTCACAACAGCCACACTGGCTCAATAAGGATCATTGGTCTTATTTTTCAAAGCAACTAAGGCCCAATAATTTACACAATGACGCGTTTATAATTTATATAAGATGCAGTCAGAACTCCAATTCACATTTTTTATGCCCAGATTAATCTTATTTAGTTGTAACACTATAAATTCTCAAAACTTAATCACTCTACATCTAAGCTTTTTTAAAGTGTGCCTTTTAAAAGTTAAAATATAGTTTTCCTCCCTTTTTTTTTTTGGTGCCAGTACTAGGGCTTGAACTTTGAGGCCTCACACTATTGCTTAGCTTTTTTTTCCCTCAAGGCTGGCTTTCTACATTTGAACCACAACTCCAACTTCTAGCTTCTTGTTGGTTAATTGGAAATAAGAGTCTCTCAGATTTATCTTCCCAGGCTGGCATCGAACATCTATCCTCATTGAGATCCCAGCCTCCAGAGTATCTACCATTACAGGCATGAGCCACTGGTGCCCAGGTAGATACAGGTTTTCAAAAGTGTGATCTTTTTATCTAGGGAGAGACAATCATTGTGAGGAGAAGAAAAAAAATTTTAAGGCACTGGATAAGGGGGAGGGAGTTGTACTACAGCTATAATTCTAGCTACTCAAGAAGCTGAGATCTAAGGATCAGGATTGGAAGCCAACCCAGGAAGGAAAGCCCATGAGACTCAACTCCAATTAGCCACCAAAAAGCCAGATGTGGAGCTATGGCTCAAGTGTTAAGAGTGCTAGCCTTGAGCAAAAAGCTCATGGACAGAGCCCCAAGGTCTAGTTCCCAGTACCAAACTTTCCCCCACCAAAAAAAGTAAAAAGGCACTGTCTTAAGTTTGACATTATGTACTCTATTAAATGCTTCCAGTTCATCCTGTCCACTTCATCAGATACTAGGTTATTTTCAGATGCACAGCCTATACTAAAATCTAACAGAAGAACCAGTACGTTCCTCAGTATAAATGACCTGTTTCCCTGTTCCCAGGCTAACATCCTACCTTCATCACCTCATTGCTTTTATCTAGCTGTGACTACATTGTCACATACTCATGCTTTTGAAAGGGCCCATGCAGGATGAAGATCAAGTGGGCAGGATAGATCTACAATTTTTGAGAAAAAATTTTGAGAAAAAAAACACTAATTTGAAATTTGCACAAGAAAACTTCAAGCACCTCTAATGAGCTCTTCACACCCAGGCAGCCTCATTAAAAGTGGCTTTTTGTTCCAGTGGCACTTAAGTCTCATTTGTAGGTCATACTTACAAGACTAAGATAAGATCTATATCTTCTACTTTTGAACTGCCCAGTGTTCCATTGAAAGTTTTCAACTTGCAATACAATATAAACATCAAAATATAGTTCAACTATTGTTCGGAAAGTTTTCTAATATAGTACAAAAATCCATTTCTTTGACTTTCATGTTTGAAATAATCTGCTCTCCATAGATTTCTTACAAACTAAACCAAGTTGAAATATTCTAAGAGTTACTTCCCGGTTAAAATCCTGCAATTCATCCTTTTAGAGGAAAGATTCCTTTGCACTGCACTTTGAAAATTTATCATATTTCCTAAGTCAAAGAACAATGAAATATAACTTTATTAACAAAGAGTAGCACAGCTATCCACAAAGTATGATTTTAAACTCCCAATTTGAAAATGAATCCAGGAACTAAAACCATTTTGCTATCATGAATGCACTGTAATAAACATTTCTGATTGTTTGTAAAATGTAGTAACACTCTAACGGAAGAAAAATACATACAGCATCTTCCCAAGGATCAGAGATTCCATGACTATTAAGTGAGAAAATAAACCATAACCATTTTTAATTAAACAAGCATTTCCAAGTAACTGTGTTGAGCACTGTGGCTCAAACTGTTCACATGGAATTTGATCACAACTTAATCTCTTTAATTAAAGACCTAAACAGTAGCTCTAATGTTCCATCTCTTTACCAGCATTTGGAACCTGCATAAGTAGATGTCCCACATACAGTAAAAGAAAAGTAACCTATGAAAATGAGTTATGCTTTAACTGAAGGGCATTTTAAATTGTGTAGCCTTACTCTTCCTTCTCCAACCTGTTCTACAAAACTAGCAACATTATAATACTCGCTGCAAAACAAGTTCTAGCATAGAGATTAATCACAGTCTATCAACATCATCAGCTTCAGATGAAACCCTGTTAGATGGGAGAAAAATCTAATAAGCAAGTTACCTGTTTCTCCATAGTTTACACACTCCAGAATTCTTAAGGAAGCAGAAACTGTTTTAAATGATTACTGGAAGACTGCAGTGGCACTAAGCACTAAGTTGGGACTAAGTTTCAGGATATATATACACACACTCACACACGTATATACATATCTATTACGTACAAGGTGTTCTAAGCTAATCTAAAACTTAAGATACTTAAGTCTTCCAGCAGCAAAGAGGCAAAAACTGCACTAAATTATTTAAAGAATCCATAGCATCGGGTTTAAGTTTTCCCATCTGCTTAAGGAGGAGCCCAGGTTAATTTGTTTCAGACAGCACTTACATAAAACAAAATTAGGTTATGTTCTGTAAAGGAGGAGTCCCTCGTGGAGAAGAGTGTTAGATGACTTTTGTGAATGGAAAAACCTGCATACACTGTTGCTTCGCCTCGGCCAGTCACGAGTGGGTGGAAAGGAACCCAAAGCGCGCTCCGTTCCACGCCCCGTGGAAGCCGATTCCACTCCTGCGTGCTTTCGAAGCAAACATTACAAGTCCAGTACGGCCGACTTGGCCTTCCTGCCTGCCTGCCTCCCTATAACGTTACAGGCAGGCAGGCCACGGGAGCCGAGGGTTCCCGTGTCACCAGACTCCGCAGGGGCGGGCTCGGTCTGCGGGAGCACGGCACAGCCTCCTCCGGGGCTGTCACCGGAACACCCCAGCCTCGCCTCAACCGCACGGGAGCGACCGGGCGCTAGCTCCCCGGGGCGCCGGGGCGGGGGAGCGGGCTTCCGGCGAGACCATCGCTCGGGCAAACTTCGGGAGGTGCAGATCACCCAAGCACCCCCGCCGCCCCCCACGCCCCCGCCGCCGCCGCTCGCGCTCCCCGGCCGTGGCTTTCGTCAGGCTGCGGACACACCTAAGGTGGGCCCCGAAACGCTCCACCCCCGGCAGCCTCTCCCGTCGCCCCCGCCCTCCCCGCCACGCCACCCCTGCTCCGACAGGGACAAAGGAGCCCGAGTGGAGCTCGCGTGCGCGGGATGCCCAGAATCCCCGCAGCCCGGGCGCAGCTCGCCGGGAGGGGTGCGCACCCGCCGCCGCCCCCCACTCGGGACCCGCGTGACACTCACCGGCGCTCAGCCCCGGCAGAGGCGGCACGCCGGGAGCCGGTTCCTCCGAGATCCGGGCGACCTCCGGGGTCCGGGACCCGACGTGCGTTCAACTTCTCCGGGTGGCGGGCTCCGGAACCCGGACGGAGGGCGCGGTTTGGCGGCCGCGGGGGGGAGTCGGCCCGCGAACGGGGCGGGAACTGTGACACCGCGGGCCACCGGCCGCGGCGGGTCCCTCCCCCGCCCCTCCCCGCGCCCGCTCACTGCCGGCCGCTAACGGCGGCGGCCACTGCCGGCGCCGAGGCGAACGCTACAGCTGCTCCGGCTGCCGCTACCACCACCGCCCAGCCAGGAGCCCGTCGCGGCCTAGTGTTGTCATCGGCCGCGTCGCCGCCTTTCTGGGCACGCCGAACTGCCACGAGCCTTCACATTCGGGCGCCCAGCCCCCGACAGGCCCCACCCCCGGACCCTAGCCACGCCCTTTTCCCGTCACGTGACGCGCCGCGCCACGGGCCGGCGGGTCGCTTCCCCCTACGGGGCTGGCGCTTGTGGTGAGGGAGCAACTGCCAAACGCCTGGTCTGCACGTCCTGGGGTGGCCTCGGGAGACTCACTCCCCCACCTGGAACCCGCGCCGGTCCACACACCGAGGTGAGGCCTGGCCCTGGCTGCCTAGCCTTGCCTAATTTGACCAGGTCGCCCGGAAGAGCTACCTGGCCTGCTGCTCCCCAGCTCTGAGGCCCAGGCCCGGCCCGGGCCCAGCGTCCCGCCTGGGGCTCGTTGAACTTGTTCCAGAGGCCCCAGGAGAAGTCACCCTGTAACAGAGTCTGTCTTGAAAGCATCCAGCAACCAACTCGTATTCTAGTAGCACATTCATTGTGGCATTTAATTCACTGTTTTTTTCTCACTAGAGGGTGTGTGTGTGTGTGTGTGTGTTTATTTTTGAGGAAGCAGTGGTTTGCCTCAATCACGCTGGGATGAAAATAGCCTAGACAATAATTTTTGTTCTTAGTCATAGTTGAGGGATCTTCGTGCCAAAGTTTTTACAGTGCGTTGGTTCGGTGGGATAGGAGCTTGGAATTCAGTACTTTCCATTTTACAAAATAAAGCCTGATTCTTGCCTTGTTTCCCCATCCCCACCCCCACCCCAAGTACCTTAACTCTTGAACTTCACCTTTGTCATTCTTTTTTTAACCCTGACTCCTGGAACCTGACTTCCTCATGAGAAGGAACAATGGTAGACACCCAAAGAAAGTTACGATATAGAAATAAGAGAAGAAATAGAACAAGTTGAAGGCCAGCCTACAGTGTTCTTAAAAAAGTAGAAGAGCGGGGCTGGGAAGGTAGCTCAGTGGTAGAGTGCTTGCCTTGCATGCATGAGGCCCTGGGTTCGATTCCTCAGTTCCACATAAGCAGAAAAAGCCGGATGTGGTGCTATGCCTGTTCAAGGGGTAGAGTCCTAGCCTTGAGCTGAAGAGCTGAGGGACAGCGCCCAGGCCCAGAGTTCAGGCCCCACGACCGGCAAAAAAAAAAAAAAGTAGAAGAGCAAAAAGATCACACTGAAACCCTGGTTAACAGGAAAGGCAAGTGAAAATGTTTTCTGTAATCATTATACTCGGTTTGTTATTCATTTTCTAGACCAGAACTAAGGACTTTTTTTTAAGCAGGTCTCAACTCAATACATTTTCTTCTTAGGAAGTTAAACATGGCATTCTGTTTGGAGGGATACTCTGAAATTCTTTTTTTTTAGCATAGATATTTAATTGTGAAAATACCGTACAAAGGGTTTACAATTACATGGGCAAGATAACGAGTACATTTCTTATCAAGCATTGTTGCCTCCTTCTTTGTTTCCCCTTCCCATCTCCCATCCCCCCCAGCGCCCCCCAAAGTTGTAAAGTTCGTTTTTCGACATAATGACTTGTACATCTCTTTGTTGCAATGGGTCCACCTGTATCCCTATTTAGACGATTTGTTTTTGCCCTTTCTCTCCACAAATTATACCAGTATCAAATACAGTGAGAGCGGGGTTATACCTTGGGGGGGGGGGGGTACATACAAAGCAACAAAGAAATCATCTTATAAATATGTTAGAAACAATCGCATGAAAGAAAAAACCATTTGAATACTTACCTTGGGCTTCACTCTGAAATTCTTAAGCCACAATTTGGCCTACATAATTCTTATTGTTAATATAATTTATAGAAGCTCTAAATATAATAAACTCTTAAGACTCACCATTATTTTGTTACCCAAGAAAGAAAATAGCCATGTCACTGATCTTGAAGACTCCTCTTGAATTCAGAGATGTTAACATGTGAAAAACAATGAGTCTTAGAATCTCTGAGATAATGTATAATGAACTGGTGTTCCAATGAGAAGATTCTACCACATCATTTGGAGTCTGAGAAATTATACTTAAATGTCAAACATGAGGAAAGTTTATTTTGGTCTTTGAAGATAATAACTTCGGGGTTTGTCAACAAATTGAATGTCTTTTATATTCTGGAACAGTGTTTTTCAAAATGTGAACAGATTTTTTTGATGAAACAAACTAGAATGGAATAGAATTTAAAAGATGAGTACAAACCTAAAAAAGGAAGAATTGCTTTGTATCAGATATGAGGAAGAATGAGTGTGTCCTGTCTTGTGATTAAAACTCTTTTATTTCTTACTGTGAGTTTCCATCAAGTGGATTTGAAAAAGTCTTCCTAAAGCATTAGATAACATGCAAAATGTACCATCTGGATTCTGTTCTTTGGTGTTTTTCTTTTACTCTGAGAACTAGGACTGAAGATTAGAAAGAAGAGAGAAATTGCCTTGTCTAATCCTCTCCATCCTCTGCCCAAATTTCTTATATTGGTATATATCAATATACTACAGGAGAAAGATCTCTGATTTTTAGGTATTTTTATATCTAATATTCTATGATTCCAAATACTTATTCAACCTAGTATTTTTAGCATAATAGCGTCAAGCTAAGTAAAACCATTACAGACATTTTCCGAAGAAGACACTTATATTTGGGAATAGCAGAAGATTGCGATACAAATAGTAGAGCATTGCAATGTGAATACCCATACACTAAACTATAGACATGTTAAGATCGGTTGACAAAGGAAAGTATTTAAAAACAAGACTTACGTCACCAGTCTTGAAATAATTCTTAGCCAAGGTGATTACTAACAAGAGTGGCATCAGACTGAGATTAAACAGACAGTTGCTAGGCAGATATCCCTATAAAAGTACCTTTTGTAATAAGGTCATGATGGCCTCCATGAAAACTTGTGGTTCTGGCAGTCTTTGTGGTAGTTAAATAAAAGTCATACATAAGAACCCTTCTTTCATAACTTAAGGGTTTTTTGTTTGTTTTTTTCTCCCGGTTGTGGGGCTTGAACTCTGAGCCTAGGCACTGTCCCTGAGCTCTTCAGCAAAAAGCACGTGCTCTGTCACTTGAGCCACAACACCACTTCTGGTTTTCTGGTAGTTTATTGGAGATAAGAGTCTTATGGACTTTTCTTCCTGGGCTGGCTTTGAACCTCTATCCTCAGCTCTCAGCCTCCTGAGTTGCTAGGATTACAGGTGTGAGCCACCAGCACCCAGCTTCTCAGGTTTATTATGTTGTATGTACATTAGAGCTGACATAAATTACTCCATTTTTTTTATCATTCTCAGAATTCTTTCACAGCAACATCAAAGTATATGATCCTGAATTATAAATGAAAAATGTATAACTCATTTGCTGTTGAGATAACCTGCAAGCCTGCTGATCTTAAAATAATTATAATAACAATTTTTAAAATAAAACTTTCTGTCACAGGTATCCAATTATAATTCCCATGAGAATTATTCTCTTTTTTTTCCACTACCACTTAACTAATTATACAATTTGAAGAATGACTTCTTTTCCCCAAATCTGCTTAAGCACTGGTAGGCATGGTAATGTCTCACAGGATATATTTTAATCTGACCTACAATGAAAGAGGTGTCTTCAAGTTGTATTTTTTTTAATCACTTTATTCAAAAACTGGTTGTCAAGCTGGGTGTTGTTGGCTCAGGTCTGTAATCATAGCTACTCAGGAGGCTGAGATGTGAGGATTGTGGTTCAAAGCCAGCCTGGGCAGGAAAGTCCATGAGACTCTAATCTCCAATAAACCACCAGAAAACTGGAAGTGGCACTGTGGCTCAAAGTGGTAAAGTGCTAGCCTTGAGCTGAACTGTTCAGGGACAGCGTCCAGGCCCAGAGTTCAAGACTCACTATTGACAAAACAAAAAACTGGTAGTCAAGATTATAGACAAAAATGTCTAGGAGAGGGCTGGGAAGGTAGCTCAGTGGTAGAGCGCTTGCCTTGCATGCCTGAGGCCCTGGGTTCGATTCCTCAGCACCACATAAGCAAAAAGAAAAAAGCCAGAAGTGGCGCTGTGGCTCAAGTGGTGGAGCGCTAGCCTTGAGCTGAAGAGCTGAGGGACAGCGCCCAGGCCCAGAGTTCAGTCCCCATGACCGGAACCAAAAAAAAAAAAAAATGTCTAGGAGAAAATTGAGATTGAGCATAATCTCAAACAAAGGATCCAACTCAACTTTGAAGACTAGTAAATTGTAATATTTTTGTTGGTCATATGACTTGCTTTAGCCATGCTAACTCAAAGGAGAAACAAGTGTAACAGTTGGGTCTATTTCTCTAGCTTGAACAGCCTGCTATGAAAAAGATATGTTCCAGATAAAATCTCAGAATAAAAAAAAAAAAAAAAAACATATGGAATAGATCTGAACCCAACTCATCCTGGAACAGCACTGGAGCAACTGACCTGCCCCTGCACTGTGATGCTGCTGATGTTAAAACAAAGCAAACTATAGCAAAAATATTTGTTATGGTAAACCAGAGACTTTTCAAATCCCAGGTTACCATAATCTTGCAAATTATCTAAAGTGAATTTGAGTTAGTGATTAAATAGTCTAAGTATACTGTAAAACAATATTTGCCCTTCTCCTTAAAACTCCATACTGATAAACCTATTCAACCAGATAGTTGGTAAACATCCTCTACAAGTAGTCAGTAGCCAGATGTGAATGGTTCACACCTGTATCTTAGCTACTCAGGAAGCTGAGATCTGAAGATCACAATTTGAAGCTAGCCTGGGCAGAAAAGTTTGTGACACTCTTAACATTACTGAGCCAGCTAAAGGTCATAACTGGAGTTATA